ATTCTCAAAAAATGAAATTATCGACCGCGTTATCAGCGAGTGGTTGCTGTCGGCATGCACTATCGTTTAGGCTATTCTGCCCCATGCCGAAGCTTAGTGTAAAAGAAATTTTAATCTCACTATGACATTCCAAACAGAAACATTCAAACACCAAAATTACACGTGGTAAGAAATACCTTGTATGAAACGAGTAGTTATAGTTACCAACTTTGATTCAATATAACGACGATGAGCAGTAAGTTTTTGCAAAAATGAAAGAGAATTCTCGTCCTCGCCAAAACTAAAATTATACGTGAGAATAAAAAGCAGCAAAATTAGAAAAATGTAGTGGAAAAATGGAAGAAAGGAACCCAACTGTGATTCATCAAGCGATGGGGTGAAAAAATCTAGGAGACTTTATTTACGGCCATATGTGTGAATAAATATCTCAACAGATGATAAGTGTTGTGGATGAAGAGGACAAAAAAACGACATAAATCAGTTGGGAGGAGCAATTTACCATCTTATCTAGCAACTGGCAGAAATCGCATTTTGCTTGCGGGTGAAAAAGTGGTCGCTGAGAATAGATGAAAAGAAGATACATCTGAGAGGTGAGTACTGTCGTGAACGGAGCCCCTTCTCGAAAATCGTCCGGGCCCAAGAGGGGATCGAACCACTCCCTTTCATGCCTAGATGCAATGTGTTACCACTACACCACCGGTCCTTGTGCTCAAGTTCAACCTGACAGCACATCTACTGTGTATCTGCCTTTTAAGGCAAGATGCCTTCCTTTTCATCTCTTTTTTCCTTTGTGGCGGCTTCTTGGGCGGCTTTTCGCGGGTTTTCCGCGACAAGTACAGGTAGAAACGGGGAAAGCTCAGAACTAATGATGCAAAACAGACATCAATTACACCTCGGGAAGATTGGGGTCTCGCCAAGCATCCCTAACAGGGGAATGTTTGAGTTGGCAATCCTTTCAGAAGACGAAAAAAAAAACTTTAGAATAACCAGCAATGACCAAGTCGTCCAGCACTGGTCAAAGCAACTAGAACAGTTACCATTTGCACAGAGAGACAAACAATCCGTAACTTTACAGCTTTTTTCAAACATTTAAAACTGAGCGAATTTGATGGGAGAGGAGAAACAAACACTTCAAACACAAGCATACCGTCTTCTTCGTTCTTCGGGAGGAAAACGAATCAGTGTCTTTGTTGGCTCGATATCCAGGAAAAGATCATCTTGCGAAAGAACAAACATAACTGGATCGTGCAATGCTGCTGTCAAGAATATCTAAAACAAATACTTCCATTATTAATTCGCTGAGGTAAATCCAGAAATCGTTGTAAAACGCAGATTCTTTTCCATAATCATTACAGTAATATTCTCCATACCTTCTTCGATTACCCGCAACTTAACCACCAAATTATGTTCAATCCGCTATAGGTCGTTTTCCCGTTATCTTATATCGATCTCAGCAGCGATCAAGGATAATTTCCGGAATTTTTTTGAAGAGAAAAAAGCAAAATTTCTACAATCTCAATATATCTCTTTCGAGCCAAATTCATATATTACCCTTCCAGCAAGGTCCACCACCCTCTTTTTTACCCTTTTTATTTCCTTCAAGTTTATCTACAGATGAAATTCGCTTTCTAAATCCACAAGCAGCCTGCTTCATTTTGTCGTGTAATAGATCAAATAATGATTAATCCTTTTCTGTTAAAAGTAGGTTAAAGAACAACTGCGTTACTATAACGCAATACCCCTATCCCTGGTTCAAACTTTGGCCACCCTATCCTCAAATTTTTGATCTTTGCCCCTCCCCCCCCCCCCCCCCCC